ATCTATAAATATACTAATAATATTATTGATATTAATTTATCAATAATATTATAAAAATAATAATATATAAATTTTATTTATTTAATAAAAATAAATATATATCATTTGATATAATATCAAAAATTATAATCTACGTTAATTTGAATAGATAAATAATTGTTTAATTTTAGAAAATTATATATATATATATTAAAATTATTAAATTTTTAATGGGAGAGACTAAAATCGCACTATTATGATATTCGAGAGACTAAAATTGTTCAATTAAAAATTGAAGGACCAAAATCGCACAATTGCAATTTTTTAGAGACTAAAATTACCCAATTAAAATCTTGGGGATCAAAACTACACAATTGCAATACTTGAGGGATCAAAAATGTAATTAAGCCTAAAATATAATAATTAATAATTAACAAAAATATATTTTTAATAAAAACACCATCGTGTAACATTTAAACCTTTTATTCATTATGCTAATAATACTTGTCTTTTTAAAATTATTAAAATATATATTAGTTTTTAGCCTAAAAAAAATTGACGGATAAAAGAAGACATGCATAATGGTGTAAATGTGTAATTCAACCGCAAAAGGCAACCGGATATGTAATTCTTTATTCTTTGATCACTAAAAATATAAAATGTATTGGCTTCTGGATGTTAATTATTAAAATTCGACCATTCATAAATAACCATTATAATTTGTTCAAAAATTCCTTTTGGCTCCTCTTATTGTTTAATTGATTTAATTTGATTATTTAATCATTACAAAATTAATTTTTTTATGCATTTTATCATGGAATATGGGTCATGGTCCAATTTAATCTTATAAAATTGATTTTTAAGATGAGATTTGTCTCCTACTTATATATTTTTTAATTATTTTATCTTTAATCGATGTAAAATTTAAGTTTTTTTTTAATATATCCTCTCATTTCTAACACTATTAGACTTGACATGTGGGTAAACGATAAGTGACTTTTTTTTTCAAGTTTTTAATGATCTATGATAGGTGAGACTTAGATTTTTTTTTCTAATATGCACTCTCACCACATCCAACATTATTAGCCTTGATACGAGAATCAATGGTGGGTGACCTTCTTAGAGTAGATCTAGATAACTTTAATAACATTTTAGAATGTGCGGGTTATGGTGGTATCACAACTATCATAAATCCATATAAAAAGGTTATTCACCATTAATTTACGTATCAAACTAAATAGTGTTTAATGTGACGGGATATATTTGAAAAACTTAAGTTCCATCTATCCTAAATCATTAAAATGTTAGACACGAGGATGTATTAGAAAAACTCACATCCCACATCGTAGATATAAAATAATTAAAGGGTATATAAGTGAGAGACAATCTTCACCTTAGAATTCAGTTTTGTAGGGTTGGACTATGCTCATAACCCACATTCTAAAATGATATTAAAGACATCAACATCATAGGGATAATACAATTAAAAAGTATATAAATGTGAGACAACTTTCACTTTAGAAGTCAGATTTGTAGGATTGAATTAGACTCATAATCCACATTTTAAGATAGTATTAGAGTTATATAGGTCAACTCTAAAAAGGTCATCCATCATTACATAAAACCCAACAATGTTTGACTTAAAGTGGTGTATTAAAAAAATCAAAGTCTCATCTATTCTAGATCATTAAAAGAATCACTTATTGTTTATCTACGTACCAAACTCAATAGTGTATGATGTTGGACATAAGATGTATATTGAGAAAAACTCAAGTCTCACATTGATCAGAAATAAGACAATTAAAGAATATATAAGTAGGAAATAACTCTCATCTTATAAGAAAATTTTAATTATAAAATTAAATTAGACCTATAATTCATATTCTAAGATTTAAAAATATAATATTGTTAAAAAAATAATATTAACTTATTATGTACATATAGTGAGCAAATATCGGTTATTAATTACTAACAATAAAAAAAAGCACTTTGTCTTTTTAAAAAAATTAAAATAAGTTGGTAATTGTTATTTAAAAAAAGTAATTATTGTATGTGTATATATATATATATAATATTTTCTTATTTTATTTTTCAATATATTGGTAAAAAAAATTAAAATATAAATATAAGAATATAATGATCTTCGAAAAAGTGAACATCAAAAAATATACCCTTATTATATATTATTATAGATAAAAGTTAATATTATTAGTCATCAATGAAAACAATATTATATCATTTTAAAAATTAACAGATGAAATTAAAAAGAAGAAAAAAAATCATTTCTACCAAACCCTCTTTCTTCAACCGGGAGACACCGGAGAGGAGCAAATGATTCCGAGTGTTTCTCTTCCACATGCATGTAGAAGACCCATTGCCTAGCTCCAATTAATGCTACAGCGAGAACGTGATTTATTCTTAAAAAACCATTTTGTAAAATTATAGATTCGGTTTTGGTTTATAATGGTCTAAGTTTATCATCGTGTTCAATTCGCACTGAATCATTTATAAAACTGATCCAGTAACCTGTTCTCACCAATATATAATTGACCAGTCCATTCCGGCCATTTTCTCAACAAATTAGTAACGCAATGATTGAAAAAAATTCAAATTCTCCATATTAATCGGAAAGAATAATAACATACAAATGCGTTCAATGGCTAGTGAGAACAAGCAAGTTGCCGTTGAAATGTTTGACTATATCCATCGCCCATAACGACATAAATCTTTTGCATTTTATTAAATTTTCCAATATAAAAGGTTTCTTAGTCTTATGTCATTCATATGTAAGTATGAATGAAAAGTCTTACATATAATAAATATTTAAGTTAAAAACATAAAAAATCTAACGCCTTAAAAGTATAGATGTGGTGTCAAATTTATGTAATTTATTTATAACCTAATTATACAATTCTTCTATGTGTATAACCCCTCTTTTATTAATTATGTTTAACCTATTGATAAAACATTATGTTTTCCTAGCTAGTAGTATTACGTTTCTGTCATAACTAAAGAGATATATGGATATATATGTAAATAGTTTTATATTTTAAATTTTTTAAAATAAAAATAATATTAAAAATTAATTATTCTTATAAAGATTTAAATTTAAAGATTAAATATAACACCAATTAATTGAATATCAATATTTTTTAAATGTTTTTATTAAATAAAATATAAAAACACGAATGATAAATCCCGATAAAATATTATATGCTTTCTGGGCAACCCTACATCAATAAAACGAACGATTTAAAACTTGCATTTGAAAAAGTTAAAAAATTCAAAACTTCAAAAAAAAAAAAAATTGGCATCCCCCGATACATAGAGAGGTGGGGATATATATAGTTAAAAGAAAATAATGCATATACACTATATGTTTAGAAAGAAAAAGAGATAAAAGAAAGAAAGAAAAATATAAATATAATAAGTAATATAGTTTAACAGAAAAATAAAATAAAATAATTATAAAGGTCAATACAATATATATTTGTCTTATTAGAGTTTCTAAATATAATTATTCAGTAGCTTAAGTACTAGGGGGTAAGAGAGACGCAATATGTACTCTCTTCTCCTTTTTTTTTCAAAAAAATAAAATAAAAGAGAAAAAAATTGCAGTGAACAGTTAAAAAATTACTTAAAAGATAAAATAGTAGATAATTTTAAAAAATAATTAAATCATAAAATAAATTGAATAAAAAGTGAAATAAATCACACTTACACTTTTTGAAATTTCACAGATGTATATAACTCTTACTTTTTAATATTTATAATAATATATTGATGAGTATATTAATCAACTTGTTATTTTATTTTAATTAGTGATCTCGATTTCAAATCGTACCTTATGAGTATGGAATTGTGTTAAGTTTTTGGAAAGAATATTTTATTGTCTATAGCAACCTATTAGGCATTAGCTTTAACATGTTGTCTCCGATTAAGGATATCTATGGTTCATACAAAATAAATCATATATGCTTTATCTTATACTTATTATAAAACACTTATAGTATATAATCACATAAAATAATAATAGAAGTAAATATTTTAGATGATTTTATAAAACAAAATTATGATATATTAGTTTTACCTTTCTTATCATGAGAGAGATAACACTATATCAAAATTTATGACCTTAAATGCCAATATTAATAAAATTGACAAATTACAACCATAAAATTTAAGAAGTGAGAGATAACATTTATTTCTTATTATTTAACAAACAATTAAGAATTAGTGCTTGATTGGAAAAAAAAAAGTTTATTAAATGCTTGGGAAATCTTAAATGATGACATAATGTCAATTTAATTTAATCTAAAAAAGTTTTAAAATTTTTTTTTATTATAATTATATGTAACATTAAATGTATTTTTAGTTTTTGAAATAAAAAAGTTTTATTTATAAAAAAATCTATAAAAAAATCAAATAAAATATTTTAATAACTAAAAGCAAAAATTAACAAAACTTTAAATAAAAAAAAACTTAATCCTTATATCACGTTCTACAGGAAAATTGCAATTTGCTATGGCCGGCGGCTGCTGCCATAATATATTATTATGTTTTGGGGGTGTGCCAAAGTGGTTCTTATATATTTAAGACTACATACTCTTATTGAGTATGGGAGACACGAAGGGATAGGAGATAAGAATGAAAGAGATTACAAGAATAATATAAAATATAAGAAACAAAATGTCTGAATATCAAGGATAAATATTATTATACAAAACAAAGTGTCATTTTTAGAATTAAAAAAATCATATTTATCATAAAAAAGTGTCGCACACATTAATAAAAAATAAAGCATAAATACAGAAAAATAATCCACATAAAAAAACTTTAAAATATGAAATGAATTTGGGAAGGCAAAGGCATAAAAAAGTGAAAATAAAATAAAATAATAATAATAATAATAATAATAAGTAATAGTAATAGTAGTGTTGTGATAAACCAAAAAAAAATATAATAAATTATGAAAAATAAACTAGAAAAATGAATATATATTTACAGTTACTTTTATAAAAATAATTAATCAACACTCATTAGTAAAACTGTCTAAATTAACTTAATTCATTGGGACGGGACATAGTTTGATAGGCCAAATTAAGCTCGATTTTTAAATTTAAGTTCTAAAAATAATCGAGTTAATTTAGAAATTTTGGGCCTCTAAAAAACATGTCACGATTCGACCTGGTTTTCATGCCATGACTATTGGAGTCGTCTATTTTGTCACCTCTGTCATATACCAATAATTTATAGGAAGAAAATGATAGAAAAATAAAAAATAAAAAGCACGGTATATCATGCATATGTGAATATATGAATACTGTTCCTTATATGTGACGGCAAAATTAACTAGTCCTCTTCTCTCCTATATAAACATATAGCAACTAGTTTTGTGCCTTGTTGATCTCTTAAAACATAGTTGTATATTATATTGATCTTGCAATGTTGGCCTGAGAGAGCGCAGTGCAGATATGGAGAGAAACCAATCTCATGCTGCTCATCGTCATCTTCTTGCATATTCCATCATACGTAAACTACGTCACGTGTTTAAAGCAAACAGATCCAAATTTGCAATAGCTGATGAAGGCCAAATTTCAAACACAGAAAAAGAAGAAGAAGAAGAAGACGACTCAGAGCCCTTTGAGAAGCTCGTAGAGATGAGCCTTCCGTGTGATGCATGCGTGGAACAAAAACTGTGTTGGTTACGGTCTCAGATAATAGGTTACCATGCAGAGTTCAACTCTCCTTTTGGAAAGCGAATACTTGTCTATGCTGATCACACGGCTTCTGCTCGCAGCCTTTACTTCAATGAAACCTTCATCACCAATCATCTTCTTTCTTTCTACGGTATTTGCCTCAAAACACATCCATCTATACTTTATATATATATATATATATATCATTCTTCTCATGATAAATTTTCAAGTTACAGCAAAATATCTGTATCAGTATGCATGGATTAATTTAAATAGTACGTTAAAAAGTCTCAAACCAAAGTTTGCGGGTCCAGATTCAGTATTTGTCAAAAGCTTTTTTAAATTACAAATATATTAAACTTTAAATATTTTTTTTTTAACTCAAAGTGATAACTTTTATATAAATTCTATGTATAGACAGGGGGGAAGATATAATTAAGTTAGGCCAAACCTAGTTAAAATTTTTAGCCCGATAAAGTTAATTGACTTAAATGGGCACCATACAATATTTTTATCAAATTTTGTGTATCACGACATCGAAAACAATCGAACAAGTTTCTTAATATTCATTTAATATATAGTGGAGCATTTTTGCGTATTAATATTTATTTAGGTCAAACATATAAATTTGTTTTTACAATGTTGGAAATTCTCAAATTGATGATTTTATACGTCAAATTTTATTAAATCATTTTTTATATTTTGTTAAACATTACTGATTTGGCTTTTGATATCATCTTATTGTTAATTTGATTCTTATATAATGCACTTTTAATTTGATAATTAATTATATATGGAGATCAAACAAATTAATTAATATAATATGTAACGTGATATGATAAGAAAAAAGTTAATAAAGAAAAATTATAAATGTTAATAAGATGTTTAGGTGTCTAAATATATTAATTGTATATCTCTTACATATCTATATATTATTTAAGGAGAAAATAATGGGTGGATCCGATGAGAGAGAATTATTTTTTTAATTCTCTATATATAAAAAAAAAAGAAGAAAATTTAAGGAGAAAACAAACAAAAACTATAGTTAACCGATCAGTCTGCAATTAACTATCATCTACGTCTTCTAACCGAAGTAATAGAATTTGGAAAACTAAAAGAGCAAATACACGGGAGAAGACAAAAATTACATATACAAAGACAAAATTTCCAAAGCAATTTTTTTGTTTTGTTTTTTTTGCAGCTTATAACAAAATTCCATGCAAACAGATGCTTGATAATTAATACTAATGGTTTGGGGTAATCTATGAGAAAGAATCCTCTCATGCTGACATGATCATGATCATTTTATGACTCATCATAAAAAAACATCATCCTGTACGAAATTTTTCTATTAATCTCTCAGTTTTGTCCTTCAAAGAATAATTTTTTTAATATAATAATCTCGTCTGTTTAATTCTTTAAGAGAAAGCTACATACAAAACTTGGACACGACATGGTCATATAAAAATTGAACATAATTAATTAAGATAATTCATTCCCTATCTTTAGTGTGCAGGTATAATTAATTTTTATTTATTCTCCCTTAGACAGGTATGTTTCTCATCAAATATTCCAAAGCAATGCAAGTGTGTCTCAAAATATTAATTATTGCCAATATACATACACACATACTTGTGGAGTTCCTTTTATTTGTTTGACTTGGAAATATATACATCAAATCTCACAAACAGAATTCATATTTCTCTACTTAACTGTGTAGAAATTTTTAAACTACGAACATATCTCCAAAGTCCAAATTAGTGTCATACTCACACAGTTACACACAGGAAACACTCACACGTGTGACAGTTACGTGGGAAGCAGGACAACAAAAATGGTGGAGGAAGCAAGTGAGTACATGAAAAAATGTTTAGGTGGTGGGGAAGATGATGCACTTATATTATGTGGCTCGGGCACAACTGCAGCCATCAAGAGGCTGCAAGAAGTGATGGGAATCGCTGTGCCCTCTATTTTGAGGGAAAGGGTTTTGAAGAGCCTTGGCACTAAAGAAAGATGGGTGGTTTTTGTTGGACCTCATGAGCACCATTCAAACCTTCTTTCTTGGAGGCAAAGCTTGGCTGAGGTGGTAGAGATTGGTTTTGATGATAAAGGCTTGCTTGACATGGATGCTCTAAGGTTACAACTTGAGACCTACAAAGATACAAATCGACCCATGTTGGGATCTTTCTCAGCTTGTAGCAATGTCACTGGAATCTACTCAGATACACCAGCAATTGCTCAGCTTCTTCATCATTACAAAGCCTTTGCATGCTTTGATTTTGCAGCCAGGTATGTATTAATCACCCTTCCAATAATTACCATTTATGATATTATGATATGTTTGGATGAGAAATTTATATAGGGTAATTCATTTATTTGAAGAATTTTAAATTCTTTGAGGTGGAATGCTTTGTTTGGATGAGGAATTTACAAAGAATTTGAAATCCAAGCATTTGTGAAATTCCTTCAAGTAGTAGAATTTCAAATTCTCCCAAAAATGGGAGAATTTGAAATTTCTCATATTTGTTTTCTTATTTCACCTATATATTTTATCTTATCTCTTTATTCTTTTAATTATTGGATATTCAAAAATATTTTTAAAATTATTAAATATTATCTAATATTAATTTTTACAATTTTTAAATATTTAAAAATGGATTAATATTTATTTTTATAAAATTTAATTTTAAAATCTCAACATATAAATATATTTTTAAAATCAATTTTATTATGGTGAAATCAAATTATCATATTCAACCCAACAATTTAAAATTTAAAAAATTTGAATTGACTCATCCAAACAAAATATTTTAAGAATGATAGAAATTGAAATCAAAGTAATTCAAATACCAAGAATTTAAAATTCCTTGAATTTGTAAAATTCCTCATCCAAACACACCATTAGGGTATCAGTAGAAGCAATTCATTTGAGTTGTTTTATGCATTGAAAAATAAAAAAAGTGGTAACCCCAAGTGTGTGGTTCAGCGGTAAGGGTTGATCCACGCTTAAGCAAGGTCAGAGGTTCGAATCCTGTCTTGTGTATGCAGTTGCGTTACCTTTGAGGTGTCTCCAACGTAGCGAGGAGATTAGTCACCGCTATATTCCAGGGACGAACCAAAAAAATAAAAATAAAAAAAGTGGTCTTTAGTGTACCATTTCAGTATTAAGCAACTCAAACATAAATTTACTCCAATTGAAAGAAATTTTAAAAAATTCAACTTTTATAATTTTTTTTAATCATTTATGAATTAATTTTAAATTTTTATTAAAAAATATAATTGCACTACAATGAAAAATAAATAAATTACGAGAAAAAATACACAATAAGTAGATATTAAAAATAAAATAAAGCAATAGTAAATACATAGATATCATACGAAATTAATTTTCATCATTATTATTTCCAAAACGTTTGTAAATATTAATAAGATCTGTTTGAAATCTGATAAGGAACGGTTACTTGAGGAAGTAACTCTCTCTCTTCTTCAAGTAACTCATGTTGCCACGTCAGAGTCCTCCAATGATAAGAAACCGGGACTTGAGTTGCTTCATGGGACAAACAACTTTCATTAAAATTGCTCTTACTTATTAACTTCTATAATAAATAAATAAATAAGTATGATATGTGATAAATTAATATTATAAAACGGTCACTAAATCATTTTTAAATTAATATCATAAATTATGGATGAATCGCTGTTAAACTTTTTATGTAAGGATTTTTTTTTACACTTTTAAGATAAAAAAAAATAGAAAAAAATATAAAATAAGTTAAAATTAATTTTTAACTTTGTATAAGTCAATTTGTAAATTCACTAGCTAATTTTAGTTTATACGATTTACATTGGATTTTTTTCCCTATTTTTCTTAAAATATTCCTAAAAATGTTTAATAAAAAATTTGTTATTTAGAAATTAATTAGAATTGTGGGCATGTGTTATCCCTAATAGTTAAATGGAAGATGATGATATTAATGGTTTTAATATTGACGTTAATTAGCGGTCCATACGTGGAAATAAAGATGAGGTCGGGGCAGAGTGATGGGTATGATGCAGTGTTTCTGAGTCCACACAAGTTTCTGGGTGGTCCTGACTCTCCTGGATTGCTCCTCATGAACAAGGCCCTCTATCGGTTGAGATCTTCGCCGCCATCAACTTGTGGAGGTGGAACCGTCGATTACGTCAATGGCTTCGACGAGAAGGTGAATCCACACTCATATTATAAACAACAATAAAGTCAAATTATAAATTTTGTCTTCCCACGTAATCAACCATAAAAGTCTTCCCACGTTATTTATTATTTTATTTCCTACATGGAATTTTTTTTTATTCCGGTCCTTATGAAAAATATTTATCAATCAATCCTTGCCCTTTTTCATTCAACGTTATAACAGTGTTAGAATTGATTGTTTTTCATACAAGAATCAAAATGAAAAAGAAATGTCAGCAATTCATAAATATATTTTTATATAAGACCTAAAATAAATAATATATTGTCATATGTGTAAGATTGCTAATTCTTAAATTTTGACTTGACTTTAATTCAATTCTAAAAAAATTGATATGCAAATTAATAGTTCAAATTTGAGGTTAGAGATATATATTCTATCTTACAAAATTAATATGTAAGTCTAAGATATTTGTAATTGGTTCACTAATGACCTAATATTAAGTTGTCTAAAAGGCTCAAAATAACTAATATGATAGATTCTAATATTATTTTAGAAAATATAAATTTTAAGTTTAAGTCAACTCTATAAATTTACTTATACCTAAGATGAGGTGAGGATTGTCACTCAATATTCATATACATTATTTTAATTATATTATTAGTTGATGTAAAATTTTTATACTAATTAATTTTAATTTGACTAAAACTAAAGTACACATAACAATCTATTCATATTTTAATAATTAAAACTTCTGTTAGTAAAAAGTTGTTGAATAAATTAGTTCATGCACATAGATAATAAAACAAAAGAGACAAGTATGTATTAAGATAAGTGACACTTATGTGAGAGATAGAGAGAAAAGATGAATGATAAAATATTATAAAAATTGGTTATGTATGAATATTTATTTCAATTTATTTGTTGGGTTAAGTTAGAGTTTTTTTTTCCGTAAAAAAGCTATTAATTGTGAACAATAATTCAGCTGATGAATATCTAATCCAAACTTTTTTTTAAAAAGTTATATCATTCATAGTTTCATACTAGTGTTTTCCACAATTAATATTATATTTTTTTTCTTTCTCTCTCTCTATTATATTAATCATTTAATTTCACACCTTTATTGTTAATATTTTTCTTTATTGTATAGTATGCAAATACAATTTCTTTCCTCAAAATGCTGTGAGAATATCAAGGCATTTGAAGATCATTGTCCCTACTCTTTTGTACATCAAAGCTTATTGTCAATTTTCAAATTTTGTGTGATCGTTATTTCAGGATACAGTGTACATGGAGAAAATAGAGGAAAGGGAAAACGGGGGCACGCCTCCTATAATCCAGACAGTGAGAGCAGCATTGGCATTTTGGGTGAAAGAATACATAGGCTACAAAGAGATTGAGAAACGTGAACAACATTACATTAACAAAGCACTCAAAAGACTCGAGTCCAACCCAAACATTGAAATTCTTGGTAACTTGAGCACTAAGCGACAAGCTATATTGTCATTTATCATATACTCTACCACAAATAGTTCTTCATCACATGGTTGGGGCATTAAATGGCTAAGAGAACGTAATTTATGGAGCAAAAGAGGTAAGCTACTTCATGGCCCTTTTGTTGCAACACTTCTAAGTGACCTCTTTGGCATCCAAGCTCGTGGTGGCTGTGCTTGTGCTGGACCTTATGGCCATCAATTGCTCAATATCAACAAATCTCAATCACTTGCTATTAGATCAACAATCCAAGAGGTATGTATATTCTTTTCATTTTTTTTCCCATAAATATACTATACACAATATTTTAAAATTAATTATTAAAAATTAATTTATAATTTCGAAACATAACTTCTACTAATCAAACATTATTTTAATATTAACTATCAACCTCAATCGGGGATAATTGCAAGAGAAAAGAACATGTTTGAACCAAGATATTGTTTATTTGAACAGGGTTATGTTGGAGTGAAACCTGGCTGGACTAGGGTTAGCTTTCCTTATTACATGGACTGCGAGGAATTTGAGTTCATTTTAACAGCAATAGAGTTTGTAGCAATCTATGGCCAACGCTTCCTTCCCTTGTATAGCTTCAATTTGAGAAACGGCAGCTGGAGAATGAAGACAGACCAGCTTGAGGCTCTGATGAAGAAAAATAACTGCAACTTTCAAATAACTGTAGAGGAAACAAACAGTGAATCGAAAGCACTTGGAGTTAAACAAACTAGTAAGTTAAGGAAATCATACTTAGATAAAGCAAAATATATTGCTAGTCTTCTCCCCAAGTTCCCTTCTGAAGGCATACTCCATGGAAATGTAAATCCCAGTATCCTCTATTTTAGAGTTTAATTATCTGCCAAATACCAAACATAAATTCTAAATCTATATATCTTGTTTGGATCGGCTTTCATTAACTTTTTTTTATTAGAAAAAATTACAATAATAATAAAATTTTATATATATTATTCAAATTTTTATCATTAAATTGATCTTAATAATTCTTTAGTTAATTTTTTTAATAAAATATCAAAATAAATTTGATATTTATTCATAATCTTTTAACTTTACATACCATTTGATTGGAGAGAGATGGAGGGAAGAAATTTTGATTTAAAAATTTGTTTGGTTAAAAATTCTTTTAAGAGGAGAGGGATTTTAAATATTTCAAGTAAATGTAAATATTTTTTTTTATAAATTTTTAAATGATTAATAAAGTTTTTCACATAATTTTTTTAAACTATATAACTTTACTAATAAACCAAATATGATTTATATAATAAATTTTATCACTAAATAATTGAAATTAGAATATTTTTTTAAAAAAAATATATGTAATTACAATCAAAACATGAAAAGAACATAAGGCTGCTTTCTTATTCCTTACAGCTGCCACGACTCTCAGAAGCCGCATGATTACCATCATTGTAGAATTAATGGTAGATATGTACTTATGTATGTGCTTGTAATAATTTAAAATGAAATTTTAATGATATAATAAAAGTTTAATAATTATATATTGTCTGTATAAAAAAAAAATACCGAATCAATTAGTCAAACATTATTATTTGTATATTTTTAAAATAATTATTATAAAAGTTAATAAATTTATTATTTATGATAAGATATAATAGTAAATCATCATTAAACATTATAAATAAACTAACATCTATTAATTTGTTAAAAAAAAATACAAATTTAATTAAATATTTTCCTAATATTATGATTATTAGTCGGTGCTCAAAATACTTTGTGTTTATGTGTAACAGTTACAAAAAAATTATATTTTTTATATTTATTTTATTTTATCCCTTATAAATATATTGTTAGAAAAAAATTGTTGTTTAATTGAGGACAAAAATGTAAAAAAAAAGAAACTATTAAAAAAGATATTTTACTTATTTATAGTTATAAATTATATATAATTTAGATTCTTTAACAAGAGTAATCAATTGTCAAATAAAAAATATTTTTTGCTAAATTATATTTTTAGTATCTTTATTTTTCATCAATTTGTAATTTTAATTTTTTTATTTTTAAAAATACAGAATTTTAGTTCTTTCATTATCAAGTTTTAATATTACTTGTACTCATAATATTTAGTAATATGATATTTATAAATGAAAAAAAAAATATATATATATATAAAGA